CTTTCTATTTCTAGAAACCCCTTACCCCAGAGTATATTCAAACATTAGAAATACAATACTACCCTATTCTTATATGAAAACCCTGATTAATAGGGTCAGAGGCAGACCCCACTGTAGTCAATAGGATTCTTTCCATGGAATTAAATGAGTTTGGATCAGGAGCCCAACTAACTGCTTGAGACAGTTTTTGCTGCTTTTTAGATTCATCTGAATATCAATGCACTCTGCACAATGCATACTGATATTTTAAATTAGGTTAAGGCAAATTTTAACACAATGCCTTTAAATACTAAGTTATGCAATACGAGGCAGAGTCTGTCATCAGAAGGTTAGTTAAAATAATTGAAGTTGGTATCTGTCCCCATAACTTTCTATGTGTAAACCTTCCCATAACGTGAATTTAATCTTAAACTGATATTTCTTCCCAAATTTATAACTGAAAGAAAGACTCCTGGAGGCAGATATTTCTGATCATGTTTTGCAATATCCTTTAAGTGTCCTCCTACAGGCTTTGTAAAAAGTTGAATAACATTTGCAAAATTATTCACTTGATCCTCATCTTGCTGCTGCTGCTGGAATTTTTTATTTCAGTTTTATTCCTTCACAAAATGCAACTTAAAAAAGGCTGTGCAATAACTCTAGTTTTACCTCTGAACTCCTGCAAAAGGTTTAAATGCAAGATTGACAGCTTCAGCAGGGAAAACAAGATGTTTCTGTACCAGTTGCAACTATATTAACAGATTAATAATGATTTTCATCAGCAAAACTTTGTTAAAGGTTACATTCTACAAAGCTGATAGGTATTTAGATTAATGAGTCCAAGAGGAAAATATATAGTGCCACGATGCTTTCCTTTTTCAAAATAAGCATTCATTTTTAATTTTTATCAAGACAATTGTGGTTTTAACTTTTTGTATCCATTTTATTTTATTACAGTAACCTACCCAAATTTAGAGAAATGGATATTTTGCATTGGTAAGGAATTCTTATTGAACAGAAATGGAAAAAATTATGAATGAAAGGAAAATTTTGGAGAAAAATATAAGGAAAATTGTTGCCAGTAAGCCTGGCAGAGGAGTGTAGGGTGTCTGTAGGCTTAAAATACATTTTTCTTTGAGAAATGACTTAGTAAGGCCTGCAAGCCAGACAGGCAGGTTTTCCCAGTAGCATTCTCAACCTAGGGTGAGGAATAGTAATCCTGGACTTCAGCCAATTCCAATGTAAATCTGTTTTGTACTGGAAAGCAAGCCAAATCACCTTTATACAACATCTTGCTGTTTCTGGAGACCTGTGATAGTCTCAGTTCCCTTTCTTGGTATCAAGAAAATTGCTTTTTCATACTGGACTACATGCCTGGCAACAGCAAAACCAGGCCAATTCCTTGCTAATAAACACAACTGAGTATCACCTTAGTTACTTGATTAACTCCTATCTAATATGTTGTACAAGTTTATCCTTCAACATACACAAAGGACCAGACCTTCAAATGGTGTAACTGTCAAAGTCAATGAAAAATCATCAATTGTATAGATGAAGATCTGGCCCACAATCTCAATTAAGGACTCTAGAAGTAAAAGCTAGTGTTTCCCATACTGATATGTAATAGCTTGCATTCTTTTTAAAACATAGCTGAGGAAAAATTAAGAGTAATTATCAAAATTAACAAGAGTTATTCTTTTCTATCCTCTAAAATATTTGAACTGTCAACAATTCTGATAGCTTTTCAATGATGATGATTATAGTTCAAATGATAACTGACACATAGTTAGAGAAAGTGAGGCATGAACTTGAACTGCTCCTATTTAAAGCCCTTCCTTATTATATACCACAATAATGATTTCAAATCACTCAAGGTACACAGACAGTATCCACAATTACCATAACTGATGTGAACTTTCAGTCACTGTTCATATAGTATTGGCATCACATTATCACTAGTGACAGCTGAATTTATTCAAAATCAAATATTATACATCAGAGTTTCATTTACTTTTCCTATTCCAGAGAATCAAAAGAACCACTGCCCTTTGATGAAGCTTATTCTTATTCTTTAGTCTTTATGCAAACTCAACAGAAAAGAACATCAGAAACCATGAAGCCAAATGCAAATAACCCACACCTTTAGAAAACAGTTCAGTGTTACATGAATAAACAAAAGCATGTATTAGTCATTCACTCAAAATATGAATAGCCAATGGCCCTTTTGAGATTAAACCTCCGAGACTAAATAGTAGCATACAAATCCACATGTCACTTTATAATTTAAATGATCAAGACATAGAATTAGAAGTTTTATAATGATTATTGTATTTATTGTGTGTGTGTATGAACAATCAACATTTTTGGCCTCGGACCGGTTTTAACAAAGTAAATGGCAACAAAAATCCTCTCTACGAGATTTTTCTTTTCAACAGCTAGTGTTCTCTCTCAGCTATCAAATTTTGACCTTGAAGAGCACACAGACCACAGTTATGATTTCTAATTTCCCTAGCATGGCCAGGAACCAAACTGCAGGTCTATTTTTGTTAGCTTCTCAACCACTTTTGCCAACTATTCATCTGAATCTTCAAAATGTTTTCTAAACACTCATCTCTGAATCATAATGCAAATTCCCTTTACCGAAATAGTGGAGCCTTTAATATAGCATATTAACATGTTTAATGACTGATACTTTTAGACATCACAGCATCTCAAATGTTTTTGGTAAATGGATATAATTTTCTCTACATCACCCTATTATTATCCTTCATTAAAAGAACAAAGCTGTTTCCAGATGCAGGTTTTTCTACCAAGTGCGTTCTGAAGATAACCCAAACAACAAGGTTTAAAGGATGTCTCTTTCTCTACATTAGGCCAATGGTTTTCAACCTATTTAGATTCAAGGTATCTCTTGGAAAATGTCAGTTCCTAGTTTTCGCTCTTTTTTGACTACGGGAAGAAAACAGAGACATTTCTGTTGCAAAGAACTGAGAAAGACCACAACAGATCAGAATGTCTTTAACACTATAGATTCCTATTTGAAATCTGTGAGTCTATCCTGTGACTCATGTTTGCACACCTAATAGTACTAATGCTGCAGAGCACCCCACAGCACTCTGGAAAGGATCTCACGACATCCAGCGTGCCATGGCACCCTGGTTGAGAATCACTGCATTAAGTTAAGAAAGCTACAGTACATTTGAGGCCTGAGTATATGTTTTATATGTAAAACACATTTGCTTCTCATGTTTACAGCTTATCTGTAAATCTGTTCTAGGGGAATAGCTTTCTAAAACTGTACATAAACTCTGCATTTCACAAACCATGTTTTTATGTCTAGAAAATGTAGCTTCATTTATAAAGCCAATAAAGTCTGCTGTCTATAATCAGTGTAACTTCCTCAGTCATAAGCCTGATTCTACTCCCACTGTAATGAATGACTTTGCAGGGAGCAGGAATGAGACAACTATGCAATCCTCCTGAAATATGCTCATAACGCCATTCATGTTTATGGGAGTTATGCATATACAAACACATCAAGAGGAGACTAAAGCACTAAAAGAAAACACAGAAGGAAATCAGGGTAGGGAAGATACAATTAGCTGAAAAGAGCTCTGTCTGGTTCCAAAGAGGCAAAAGCGCTCAATATATTAAGCAAGTATAAATGGTGGGAATGCAGTGGATATTGCCAGTTTTGATTTGTAAATTTTACAGTTTTGAAGGGACCCTAATCAGCAATCCTCTGTTCTGATTTTACTAAGATATGAACTAAGCAGAAGAGAAATGTATTTGTAAGCTTTGTATGAAAGCATACTGGCAGTACCTTACTTTTTGGCTCCTCAGCTTAAAACAAAAATAGCCATGTTACTGAAATTAATTTGCTTCTCTGCTGTGCACTTCATCCAGCAACCCATATTTATGCACACAGATTTTGCTTGCATGAACCACTCATGTGTTTAAGGAGAGCATTATAAAATGAGTTCTTAAGATTACCTTGCAATGCAGACAGAAACAAGATTGTTTAAAGTATGCATTTTCTAGGATTATGAGTCTGATCTAACATACACTACAGTTGATAGAAGTCTTTCAACTGATTGCACTAGGTTTTGGATCAGGCCTGTATCATTTTTTCATTCCATGACAAATGAATTAGGCACGTTAATTTCTGGTAACACGTAAAGATTTCTGGTAACATTTTGGATAGACTAATATTCTGAGTCTTTTTAAAAAACTTGTTTTCTGCATATAACAGGGATATGTTTTTTAAAATTTACTCGTGATTAAAAGTTAAGAGTGAAATAAAGTGGTCTAGATCTTCTGCTGGCAAAGCCTGTTAGGTTCTACTGGCTCATAAATAGCTTCTACCTACCATTTTTAAGTGCCCTCCACTGGTGCACTAAACACATGCCTATAGACACTTCTCTATGTTTATGTTAGAAAAGACTGGGTCAAAGAAATATGCCTTGCATTCTGAGTGGACAGGGATCGACTTCATGATGATTCTTAGTTCCTGTGGGTGCTCATCCCAGTCACGAGCTGACTCCCTAGAAAAGCACTTTCTCCTGCAGAGTTGAGCTTGGCCTTTATAGAAGAAATTTCTGTTGGACTAGAGAAGTCAAATTATCACCCACAGTCTTGGAGAATAAAGATGCACTGATTTTCGCCAGCTAAGGATGTGCCTCACTACATTTTGTTTCACAAATGTATAAATTAAATTAAAAGAGGGGTTCCTTTCTGCTTCTGAGATGTCATAGATATTCCTCAGGGTAGAATCTAGCCCATTGTTTTTGGATAGTTTTTTAAACGAGAATAGGAAATAGAAGTCATACCAAGGAATGGCTCTGGTAAAACAATAAAAATATATGATGAACTTGTGCACCACAGCAGTCAGCACAAACCAGATCTTGCAGGATTCCCTAGCACAGAAGTGGGACATATTTTGTATTCAAATTGTACCTAAGTAATTGGAACTTAGCTCAAATAGTAAACACAGTCAAAATATAGCTGTGAGCAAAACCTACCTCTTCCACTTCTGCCCACAAATCTGAGGTCGTTGAACCTGGCGACTTGGTTTTTCATGGCAGCTGTAGCATTTCTGAGCTCTGCTGAGTAGTTTTCATCATTTCCAGCCATAACTGTGACCAGTGTCCCATCAGGGACATCTCCTAAAGCCACCACCTGAAAAGAGTAAATAAAAATCCTCAGTTTTCCTATGTGAAATGTATTTTAAATCTGCTTAGAGTCAGTAAATGATCTGACAAAAAAGCAAAAAGCAACAAATTATATAGAATAAAAAGCTACTTGGAGTAAATAGGATGTGCTTCTAAGTGAGTCTGCACAGCTGGGTACAAATATTTTTAGCTAAATATGTCTGGAACACTGAATACAGATGTATGCATGTAAATATGTACAATGTGCAGAAACATATTCTGAAACAGAGACACTTCAAATTACCAGTAAATCAATGACAGGGCCTGATTCGGCTGCCATCTGCACTGACGGAATTCCTTCTGCCCTATGCCAAAGTAAATACAAATGATTGTAAAAGTAATATGAAGCCCACTGTCTTTTAGACATAAAGGGCCTGATTCCCCACCATGTTTATTTAGTCTTATGCTATATAATTCCATTCACTTTTGTGCACCTGGACCACTGTAAAACTAAAGCACTGATGTGGAAAAGGAGGCCTCAAATGTATATTTAATCCATGTTCACTTAACTGCTTCATTTTTTATTTTAGAAGCAAACTGATGAAACTTGAACCCTCTTAAAACTTTGTGTTAAAATTGTAACATGCACTGATAAAACCTGAAACAGTCAGTCTGAAAGCTGAATTTCTGTCATGAATGCTTCCGCTGTGAATCCGCTGTCTCAATATCTACAAATATTGAACTAATATTAAAAATGTATCACTTGCTATGCACTTGACATACGATGCATAATATTTAGGTTTCTAATCCTAACTTTTCTGGTTGGTGTCACAATTTTCATGTGGTTTAAACCTACTGGTATATGGCATTGCCTTAACTTTCTATGCAGGATGTAATTCTGATTTAATATAAACCAGTTTTAAGCTGATATAATTCAACTAATTTCTCTGGCACTTCCCTTTATTTATTCTGACAGAAGAAAGAGGTGAATCAGTTCTCTGTCTTATTTATTTAGATTCTGTCACTGTTGCTAAGATCCCCCCCCCCAACTCCCCAGTTCTGTGGCTGCAGTGGTGACCTCTGCATTACTTTAAAAATGTAGCTAGTTTTAGCTTCCTCTTTTACATATTTTAAGAGGAAGCAGTCCTGCATCATGTCTTCTGAGGCACTGCTTGATTTTTTTCCCTTCCTCTTAGCATTTTCTAATTTATTTCCACGCATTTAAAATGTCTCAAACTTTTTGTATTTCTTCTACCTTCACACAGAGCTTTCTAAATCATATTTGCTACTCTTTTACTTACTTCCTTTATTATACTTATGTCTTAGTCATACTAATTCCCTATAACATCATTTCAAGAGACTCCCTTTTCAGGTGTTTCAATTCCTCCTTTATGTAAGAAGCTATATTCCCTGATGCAATGCTCTTCCATTTGTTTTTTAGTGCTTGGTAACCCTTATTTTCACTTCCACATACAATAGTGTCAAAATTCCCTCATTATGCATATATTTCTACTTCCTCTTCCACAACCCTCTTCAGTGGCCCATACTTTTGTCTTTTGTTCTCCTCTGAACAAAGTTAACATGCTTTCATGGCCTCTTCTATAATCAGCACTTGGTATTTCAATTTTCCTATATGGGATAGGCTCATTCTTTTTTCATTTCATAGATGCATATAATGTTTCAATAGAAGAGCACTCTTTCTGTACACTCTCTCTGTCTCTCTATCTCTCTCTGTGAAATGGAAAGGAGAACAATTATGGAAACATCCTTTGACATAAGCACTTGTGTGTATGTTTAACAAATTATACCCGCATGTATTAAATGGAGAAAAGCCTTCAAAATACAGGGAAAGTGCTGTACTATTAAAAACAATATATATTTTAAAATCCATTGTATTCTAATACCCCAAAGACAACATCAAATATAAGGAATTTGAAGAAAACCCAAAAAAGTATAAAAACTTGCAGAGTCAAAAAAGAAACTGGAATGAACAGTCATAAACAAGAAGCACTGAAATACAAACATTTACATTATAAAACAGACTAAACAGATAAGTAGGGACTTGCTGACTGGAGCTATCTAGTACTTTGTTTTACAGTTCAGCTCTTAAAAAATACATCTTCAGCAAATTGGACAGAATATCAGCATATCTATTCTACAGCACATCTAACTCTCCCAATCTTGATCCACCAACTAAATAAAATTGGATTTAGATGATATCCTTATCCTGTATTGGACAATTAATCCATACTGCAGTTTACTGTTCAATTGCACCAATAATCATACTTTCTTTTAAAAATCCTTTCATTTCCCCCCTCTTGATAATCATGTAATTCTTATTTCAAGCCTTCAATTTAATTAAGAATTTTTGGAGGGTGAGACAGATGAAGCCAGAATTTTTTTTCTGTGTTCATTTAATTTTTTTAAATTGCTACAGTAGATGTTAGCAGGAACTCTAAACATCCCAATTCTACATTGTCATTTAAGTACAGGATCTTGGCCGTACACAAATGATTTGAACTGAACTGCGTGCAGCTAGATATTATTTCTTACTCTGTTTTTGCTAAAGCTAAAGATTGGTCCTCTTTAAAATTATCTCATTTTTTTCTCAAAGAACATCTGGGGGAAAAATATGGTACCCGAAACATATAGTTATGACTGATTTTATAATCAGTAAAATATTTCAGGTCTCGGTACCCAGGAGTAGCTACGGTTTTTGGTGGGGAGAGAGGGACTAAGAGGTTAGAAAACAGGTGGCTTCGCAGACGACACTTTCAGAAGTTCATCAGGAAATGCTGTTGTCTTTTTTTGTTTCTATTTGGATAATTTTATGTGGGGAAATGAAAGATCTTGCCAGCACTGAGCATTTGAAACCCCTGCCTTGTTGGCAAAGGTGCAGAGGGCTGGTAATGTAAGGTCTACAGCGTTCACTCGTTACCGAACAGAAGCGGAGCTCACGCTTCCCCGACAAAACCGCGCTCCAACGACCACCCGCCCCAGAAAGGCTTTTGTTCCCACCTGGCACCTGGGGCATTGATGCGAGAGGGGATCTTTCCTTCCGCACCTTGCGCGACGAAACTCGGAGGGGCTGCTTAGCTCTCGACTCCAGTTTTGTCTGGGCAACCACCTTGCGGAGGCACTAGGTGGTTCTCGCCTGCGCGTGGAAGGGCTGTGGTGGGACTCCGCAGCGGACTGCCCCCATTCCCCTTCCCCGTGCAGGATACGATCTCCCCCCGCCTGCCTCGGCCACTTGAAAGCGAACAGCTGGCCCGCTCCGAGGGCCATCAGCAAGCCAGAGGTGCGGAGGGGAAGCCAGATGTGCGCTCGGAATGGGGTGAATCTCCCTGACCTCCCCGTTTCTGCCTCATCCCCTCTCCAGCACTGTCCTCGCAGATCAAACCCTCCGACCCCAGGCACAATCCTAAAGCCGGCCAGCCGGATTCAGGTCTCTGATCTCCCCCGGGCCAGGCAAATGCAAGAGGTAACAGAGGGATTCAAACGTGCCCGCTCCAGCTGCTGAAGGGAACCACTTAAGGCCGCTCAAGAGGGAGCTGCGACAGCTCAGGGGAAGGGGAAACACATGTTGTCCTTGCTGGAAATATATAGATCAATGGCCAAAGAATTAAAAAAAACCCCAACAACAGCAAAACAAAACCCAAGCTCAGAGAAATGATCAATAGGCCCGGAGTAAAAGGAAAGAGGGGCAGCTTGAAGAAATGCTCGCAAGCAGGGAAGGGCAATCAATCAGCCCCTGGAGGCAGGAGCTCGGGAGCGACTCTTTCCTCCGCCGTGGGGAAGCGGCTGCAGCCCTCCCGGGTCCTAGTGACAGAGAAGCGGGGCTGGAAGGGAGCAGGCTCAGCCCTGGCCCGGCACCCACCCTCCAGACCCCAGATGAAGTGTCCCGCTTGAAGGCAAAGGCCACAGGTCCTCTGGCCCGGGAGGGCGCTGCCACCTCCCTCCGCCTGCTGCCGGGGCCGCACCTTGGGGGGCATCAAGGCAGCTTTCTCCAGCCGCTGGAGGCCGGGGGCTGCCAGCCCAGCCCAGCCGCGGGCCTGCCAAGGGCAGAGCTGCATCGCAAGTCGCTTTGGCAAAGGTTCCCCCCCCCCCACCTTGTGCCAGGCCCCGGGGATGGCAAGGGCTTGAAGTCAGGCACCACAATTAAAACCAGCCTGCGGCTCCGCCAGCTTGTCAGGCCTGATGCCCTGCCCCTGCGCAACTTTCCCGGAGGTTTCCTATTGAGGGGGGTATTTCTGGGTGCAAAGTCCCAGGCAGGTGGGGCTGGACCCAGGTTTCCTATTGAGAGGGTGTATTTCTGGGTGCAAAGCCCAAGGCAACCTGGGCTGGACCCAAGTTTCCTATGCAGGGTGGGTATTTCTGGGAGCAAAACCCAAGGCAGCCCGGGCTGGATCCAGATTTGAAATTTAGGGGGGTATTTCTGGGTGTAAAGACCAAACAAGTCAGGCTGGACCCAGGTTTCCAATTGAGAGGGGTATTTCTGAGTGCAACACCCAAAGCACCCCGTGATGGATCCAGGTTTCCTGTGGAAGGCGATACTTCTGGGTGCAAACCCCAAGTCACCCCGGGCTGGATCCTGGCTTCCTCTGGAGCAGGGTATTTCTGGGTGCGAAGCCCAAGGCAGGCCGGGCTGGATCCAGATTTGCAATTGAAGGGAGGTATTTCTGGGTGCAAAGCC